GGGATAGAAGAAGGTATAGAGATTCAAACTAAAGGAATGGACAACCTATTAAATGAAATAATCCTAGAAAACTTCCCAGAGATGAAAGATGGAATGGATTGCCAAATGCTGGAAGCCTACAGGACAGCAAACATTGAAAACTATAATAGACCAACTCCAAGACATATAATTATAAAGATAGCCAACATACAGAACAAGGAGAGAATATTAAAAACTACGAGAGAAAGGAACCAGATTACATTCAGGGGTAAACCAATTAGGTTAACGAATGATTTTTCGTCACAGACTTTGAAAGCTAAAAGATCCTGGAACAACGTATTTCAAATGCTGAAAAATAATGGATTCCAACCAAGAATACTGTGCCCAGCAAAATTAAGCTTCAGATTTGACAATGAAATTAAAATAGTTCACGATAAACAAAAGCTAAAAGAATTCACAGCCAGTAACCCAGCACTGTAAAGCATTTTGAGCAAAATACTACAAAAAGAGGAATAGAAAAATAGCGCCCAAAACTAACAGTGGGAGGTATCTTAGTAAAGGTGGAGAAAAATAACCAAAGAGGAAAAACTATCCAAACTAAAATAAATAAATAAATAAACATGACTGGAAGTAAAAACCATATTTCAATTGTAACCTTAAATGTTAATGGCTTAAATTAACCAATTAAGAGACATAGGCTAGTAACCTGGATTAACAAAAAAAATCCAACAATATGCTGCCTTCAGGAGACTCATATGATAGGAAAAGACATACACAGGCTAAAGGGGAAAGGTTGGGAAAAATCAAACCACTCACATGGCCCTCGGAAACAAGCAGGAGTGGCCATACTCATATCGAATAAAATCAACTTCAAACCTAAGTTAATCAAAAGGGATAAAGAAGGACACTATATACTGTTAAAAGGAACCATCCACTATCAAGACATAACAATTATCAATTTGTATGCACCAAACAATGGTGCTGCAACGTTTATAAAACAAACTCTCCTCAAGTTCAAGAGTCAAATAGACCACAACACAACAAATATGGGTGACTTCAACACACCGCTCTCGCCATTAGACAGATCCTCTAGACAAAAGCTGAATAAAGA